CGAGTGCTGGATATTTTTGTATTCTTATAAATATTCTTGAGTTTTGTTCTGGGACACAATTGAGTTTTTTGGAAACAGATTATTCCTTTAATGTTTCCTTTAAACTTTGCTAGGTAGGACCAAGCAGCATTTAATCTAGTGTTAATTTTGTCTCACTATTGAGGCAAATCCCTTGTGAGTACATTGCTTTTGAACTAATGAGGTTTTCTACTCTGGCTGGTGGAAGAGGTATTCTTCTGAACCCTATGAACCTTAGAGAGTTGTTCCCAAATCCTTTCAGGTTGTTCTTTTCCCTAGTCTCAAGTTATTTCCTTATACTCATGCACTGATCATTAGTATTTTGAATGCTAGGGAGTGAATTTCTGCAGATCTCTGGAGTTTTCTATATAGCTCTCTCTTCTCCAGTACTTTGTCCTACAAACTTTAGCGGCTTTGGCCTTCCTTGATTCCAAGTTTTATCTCCTCTGCCCTGAGAGGTTCTGCCTGGTTTTCTACCCCATGTGCCACAGCCTGGAATCTCTTTGGACAGCTCTCTGGGATAACATAGGCCTCATCTCATCTGTTTTATATCTCTCAGGGATCACTGTCCTCTCTCATCATGTGTAACATTTTGAGAATCATTGTTTCATATATTTTATCCAATTTTATAGTTGTTTCAGGCAGGAGGATAAATCTGGTTACTTTTACTCCAGCTTGACTAGATACAGAAGTTCTCCAGACAATGTTGATGCCATGTCACGTTTGGGTTTCTGCAGGAGGAGTAGAGTTGGGAGAATAAGTAGGAGGTTATGAGGGAAGTGCAAGGATAGATTACAAGATGGAGTAAGGTACAACAAATCTGAGTGAGACAAGTAGGTATATAATTGTGGAATTTAGGGTATAGGATTGGTCCAAAGTAATCTCCAGAACTGTCTGATTGTATAAGGACCACCTTTGATAGTATAGTTTCCAGTCTCCACTGCCATGGCTCCACCACTCATGATTCAGCCTTCTTTAGGATGTAGGCCATGTAAGATACCAAAATGAATGATTTAAAAGTTTACCTTACTGGAACGTAGTGTCTATTACATGAGATATATAACTTTATACAAGATAGAAAATGGTAAATTTGAGGGGTGCCTGGGTGGCCCTGTTGGTTGAGTGTCCGACTTTTGCTTTTGGCTCAAGTCATGATCTCACAGTTTGTGGGATCAAGCCCCATGTTGGGCTCCACATTGACAGCATGGAGCCTGCTTGGGATTCTCTCCCCCTCTCTGTGCCCCTTCCCCATGCTCACACATATTAACACATGAGCATACTCTCTCTAAGTAAATAAACTTAAAAAGAAAATGGTTAATTTGATCATAGGAATATGGATAAAATTATATAAGAGTGAAGAAGAAGATGGGACACCTTGGTGGCTCAGTTGAACATCCCACTCATGATTTCAGCTCAGGTCATGATCCCAGGGTCATGGGATCAAGCCCCATGTTGGGCTCACACTGAGTGTGGGGTCTGCTTAAGATTCTCTCTCTCTCCCTCTGCCCCGTCTCCTGCTTGTGCTCTCTCTTTCTCAAATAAAAATAAAATAATTAAGAAGAAGGTGATGACATTACTTACAAGGAAGAGAACTGACATTTCAGTAAACACCAGACGTTGTACTTGGTGCTTTACATTGTTTGGTTAAAGCACTTGGCATTTCACCTGGCATAAATAGTTTCTTATTGTAGCTTGGACTGGTGGTTAAGAGCCTGTGCTCTGAAGTCAGACAGATTGGAATCCCGCTTCCTCTTTATTAGCTGTGTAACTTTGGACAAATTACTTGAACTCTCAGTTTTTAGTATTTTTCTTTCCTCTGAACGAATGGTAGTAGTAGCTACTTAATTGAATTGGATTGTTATGAGGGTTTAATGAATTAACCTATGTTGAGATCTTAGAATCTGTAACGGGCCACTCAGTATATGTTCCTTTTTATAATTAATATTAACAAGGAAATTTTAAATGCTGAAAGGTAAACATTATCCTTATTCTCAAAGTGATGGTGTCTGTTAGGTAGCATCTTTGGCTGTGTGCAACAGAGACGTGATTATGATGGTTTAACCAAATAAAGAGATCTTATTTTTTTATGAAACCAAATCTGAGGACATTCTCACCAGGGATGTATGGTGGTTCCATAGGCTACCAGGAACACAGCAACCTTTAGTATTTTCATATGAGCATCTCTAATGTGACTTTCATCTACATACTTGTTGCTTTTTTGTCCATGGTGGTTGTTCCACCTCCAGCATTGATCAGAGTTCAGACAAGAAGAATGGAATGAGCAAAGGGCCTGTGCTGGGTGAATGAACCAAAAGTCTTTCTTAGGAGACCCGTCTGCGACTTCCCCTTTTATCTTATTGGTCAGAACTGTTATATGACCACCCTGGTTACAGAGGATGCTAGAAAACGTAATTCTTTTAAAATTTGGGCACCAGTCCAAGAAAAAATATATTTTAGTAAGACAGAATTCACTCAACTATTGTTGAGACCACTAATGGTGACTCCCACAAATTGGAGAACTATAATTCAGAAATTGAATAACTTGCTTGAGGTCATTAAACAACTATTAAGTGATAATATTGGTAGCAAGGTCTGTCCAGTACCATTCCACATTCCTTTTGCCACACAGTCCAGAAAACAAGTGATCTTTTCATTATAGAATCTTTGAGTTGGATCTTTAATGACAGGATATGAACATGAGATTAAAGTGCAGATGTCCAGAATTCAAGGCGCAAGTAGATGGAATTATATAGCTCATTGGGAGTACATTTTAAAGTTCATTTTGATCAGAACTTTAAGATTCAATGAAGGAATGAAGCTGGGATAAAGATTGGAATGGTAAGAGAGGTTAAATGGTAGAAATTCTAGAAGGCCAGACTAAGAATTTTACGTTTTGCTTAGCGTGTGTTACATTTAAAGTCTTATTGAAATGATTCATTAAAGGAGTCCATTGAGTCAAAAAGCTTTCCTAAAATCTGGGTGAAACTTTAAATGTTACAGATTTCTGAAAGTAGATAATGATGACCAAATGGAAGTGATAGAGTAATTTTTTGATGACTATAATAAAATTGTATAATAAGTTTCTGGCCGTGACTTGCATCTATAATTGCTTTATAGAAGCTGTTGGGTTTTTTATATTTATATTCTACAAAGACACTCTAAAATCTTAAATATGGACATTCATTCATTCAACAAAACAGACATACTTCCTGCCCTTTTGGAGCTTACAGTCCAGTAGAGGGAGATGGATAATAAAAAATAAACATAGTAAATAAGTATATATAAACATAAGCTCATTATATATATATATATATATATATACATATATATATATTTATTTATTTATATGTAAGTAATGTATATTATTTATATGTAAGTATACATATATGTAAGTATATATATATTTATATGTAAGTATGTTATATGTATATTATACACTTATATGTTAGGTTGACAGGCTCCATAAAAATGGAGCAGGGAAAGAGGCAAATATGGGGTTAGTATGGTAAGAGTTACAATTTTAAATAGGACAACCAGAGTGGGCCTCATTGAGAAGGTACATGCAAGCAAATTCTTAAAGTAAGAGTCATGCAGATACCGTGCAGAGTAGTGCAGTAAGAGGGAACTGCAGGATTGGGAAGTGCTTGCTGTGCCTTGAGGTCAGCAAGAAGGCTAATGTGTCTGGAGTGGAGTGAGCAAGTGAGAGAATACTGGGAAATGAGGTCAGAGAGGTAATAGGGAATCAGATCATGTAAGGTCTTACAATCCATCATAAAGATTTTGCCTTTTACTTTGCGTGGAAATGGGAAGCCACAGCATGTTTTGAGCAGAAGAATGACAACATAATATGACTTACCCTTTAAAAGGATCATTTTGGGCATTGTGTTAAGAATACTTTATAGTTTGTCTCTCTCTACTAAATTATAAAATTCAGGGTTAGGGATCTTTGTCTTTTTTTGCTCATTGATCTATGACAGTGGCAGATGCTTAGAAAATATTTTTGAATGAATGACCATCCACATTTAAGATTTTAGAGTGTCCTTATAGAAAATAAATGGAAAACAACCTAAAGAGAGAAGGGAAAGTTGTCAAGGGGAGATAATTGCTGAAGAAATGTCTTTGAGTAGCAGAAAGGAGATGGGATCTAGTGTTCAAATAAAGGGTTTGACTCTAGATAGGACCATGGATACCTCATCTGCGGGTGGATGACAAGGGAGACTACATGGGTAAAGATGCTACTACTGTACAAGTGACAGTCTGTGGAAATCTCTTTTGATTGCTTCAATTTTCTCAGTAAATAAGCCAGGCCCTTAGGTAACTGTGAATATGGGTATGTTGGGGGGAAGTGTGTTGGGGAGAAAAGCTAGTATGAGAGTAATTAGGCAAATGAAATATAGTATTATTAATGGGTCTACTTGATTAAGGGTTCACTTAAAGTTCATGTCCATCAATTGAAAATCAGATTAGTCAGCATGTTTATGTGTTTTTGTCCAATCATAATCAACAGTGGCTGAGTGTTTATTGAGAATCAGACACTGTGTTACCTGTTGGTTATACAAAAGATTAATAAAACCCAATCCCAGCTCTATGGGGGCTTACAGTGTAGTGGCAGACAGTTTTTTAATCAATTTGTAAAATGGTGTGATAAGTACTATCATTTCAAACAAAGGAAAAAACTTTGTAAATCAAAGAAGTTCCAAAGTGAACAATTCAGGTTATAGAAGGAACAACAGATTAGTCTAAGAAGGCAAAATATTGTGAAAGAATCACTTTCCAAGTGTTACTTCCTAGTCTCCAATCAAAAAGGTGTTATGTATAAACTTTGTGTAATTCCAATCAGATCTTCTGCTTTGAAACTTAAACTGGATCCCAGAACTCCTAATTATTGCTCCTCTGATATCCCCTGTGAAATGCTAAGACTATCCAGATAGTATTCTCCCTTACCACAGGAAGCAAAAAACTCAGTTTTGCTTTATCAACAGGTTATTTTGGAGGTATTTTAAAGGAGCCAGCATTTGACGGTCATGGAGGTCTTATCAAAATCTGGTCACCTTGGAAACAGCATGCTTTTCTGAGGCCCTTTGAGCCTCCTACACAGGGTCTCTCCAATAACAGTGGTAAGGTAAGTTCATGTTGGGTTTGAGCTCTGATTTCTAATTTTTTTATCGAATACTCCAAATGCTTAAGTTTGTTTTGTTTAGTTTGAGAATAGTGTCTAGGAATAAACTCCATTTATTGATAATGTTTGAAAAACTTTTATTTGGTAGAAATCTGCATTATTACTGTCAATACTGTTTGTCCTGGTAATTTCTTCATTGTGCATCTATTAAGAGGAAGTTCATAGGGATAAAAATGGGTGTAAACTTGTAGGTTCAGAAGGTTTCTCTTCAAACTGGCATCCTTTGGAAAAACTGTCTCAAGTCATTTATGAAAGTTTAATGAGAACTTTGCCCACTCTTGTTTTATCTTGTCCGTGAGGGTCTGGTTCTCTTTAGGAGAGGGTCCCTAAGATTCAAGGTTCACATTTGACTATATATTATCAGACTCATAGGTTTATCTTTAGTCTAGTTCTATAGCCATTCTGGGCTGGACTCCTGCATCTTATATGTATTTATACTAGAATCAAAATGTGTCTTGTTTAATTTCTTTTATTTATTTTTATTTTTTTAGATAGAGTATGTGAGTAGGGAATAAGGGCAAAGGGAGAGAGAGAGAGAATCCTAGGCAGGCCCCCCCACTGAGAATGGAGCCTGATACTGGGCTCTATCCCACCTCATGAGCTGAGGTGAAACCAAGAGCCCAACACTCAACTGACTGAGCCACCCAGGCGGCCTGTGTATTACTTTGAAAATGATAAAAGGATTATTTGGAATTAGAATTGTTTTTGGGGGGAACTTCTCATATAAACAAAATTGTTCTTTTGGGGACGTACTTTGAAGCAAAAAGAAAGCAATATCTCAAATATACAGTTGTCTACATTTTTTTAATGTTTATTTGTTTTTGAGAGAGAGAGAGAGAGAGAGAGAGAGAGCATGTGCGGGGGAGGGACAGAGAGAGAGGGAGACACAGAAGCAAGCTCCAGGTTCCTAGCTGTCAGCACAGAGCCTGACGTGGGGCTCAAACTCATGGACCAAGAAATCATGACCTGAGCTGAAGTCGGCCACTCAACCAACTGAGAGCCACCCAGGCGCCCCTACAGTTGTCTACATTTTAAGAGGAAACTTCCAATATAGTCAAGAGATTATGAAATTGCCTCCTTAAAAGATTCTTTGGTAAAGGCAAGAAAAAAATGTGAAAAATTTAGAAATATCTTTTCTAGATCCTTTCAAATCACAATTTGAATATGATGTCCTTGATTGTTCTATTTCCTCATCCTGTGTTCCTGTTTCCCTCTGTACTGTCTCTCCTTCTAACTTTTTCTCCTTCCCCTTCAAAATACCCCATAAGGATATAGTCTTGTTTGTCTAAAAGAGAAAGATCACTCTGTTTAATGTAAGAAATACCCCTTTCATTTTTATACTTCAAGTATTAACAGTTACTGGCATTTTAATCAAAGAAATCAAATTGTCTAGGGGGCCTAAATTAATCTTTAAACCAGCTGTAATGACTGACTCTTCCTCCTGCTTCCTCACCCTCTCTTATGTGCATGTATTTCAAAATAGGTTTTCTTACATCTAAACTTTCCCCTGTCTTTAAGTAAGGAAAGATAATTAGTCTTTTCCAATGCTAATTTTGTATTTGACTAAAGTTGGCTCCCTCTCATTTTTAATTCATATTCCTTTTCTTCTTTTCCCTCCCTAGGGAAACATTAGAGATTAATTGACAAAAAAAATTATTCTGTCATTATGTACTCAATCTAGAAATATCTAATGAATTTCTACAATAGAAAGAAAAATTATTAAACTGTTTTGTGTTTCTTTAAAATTGCTTTTAAGGGGCGCCTGGGTGGCGCAGTCGGTTAAGCGTCCGACTTCAGCCAGGTCACGATCTCGCGGTCCGTGAGTTCGAGCCCCGCGTCGGGCTCTGGGCTGATGGCTCAGAGCCTGGAGCCTGTTTCCGATTCTGTGTCTCCCTCTCTCTCTGCCCCTCCCCTGTTCATGCTCTGTCTCTCTCTGTCCCAAAAATAAATAAACGTTGAAAAAAAAAAATAATAAAAATAAAAAAAAAAATAAAATTGCTTTTAAGAGGGGCTCCTAGATGGCTCAGTCAGTTGAGCGTCTGACTTCGGCTCAGGTCATGATTTCCTAGTCCGTGAGTTCAAGCCCCGTGTGGGGCTCTGTGCTGACAGCTTGGAGCCTGGGAGCCTGTTTCGGATTCTGCGTCTCCCTCTCTTTCTGCCCCTTGTCCACTCATGCTCTGTCTCTCTCTCTCTCTGTCAAAAACAAATAAACATTTAAAAAAAATTGCTTTTAAGAGATATTTCTGGTTAAAACTAAGAAAAGAAGAAAAAACTTGTTGCTTCCAAGATGAAAGGCTCTGAACCAGGATTTAAAGGGTTTTTATTATAATTTCACTTATGAATACAAAGTTTATATATTATACAGAAAATATTCATAAAGTATTCCTGATAGAATGAGTTAATCATATTGGTTTAAAGGATTGAAAAACAATTATCTTCCTGACTTTAATATATGAAATTAATGCCAACACAGTATGCTAGTTATACAGGAAGATTGAATATCTCATAATTTAAACTTTATATATTTCTTACATTGTTTTTTTTTTTTCTAATCTTACATTGGTCTTATGGGACAAATTATTATTATCATTTCTATAAATTAAGTTTACAAAAATTTAGATTCATGATTAGATAAAATTGTAATGATGGATATCTTTAAAAAGTTTATAATCTCAAGTTATTTCTATAATATCAAAATTCTTGGGATGCCTGGCTGGCTGAGTCAGAAGAGCATATGGCTCTGCATCTCGGGTCATGAGTTCAAACCCCATGTTAAGTGTAGAAATTACTTAAATTAAAAAAAAAAAAAACTTAAAAAAAACTTTAATATCAGAGTTCTTAAGAACTTTATACTTAACTAAAATTTCAATTTCTAGTTCCTCAGCTAACTTAAAAACCTCACACAGGGGCACCTGAGTGGCTTAGTCGGTTACGTGTCTGACTTCGGCTCAGGTCATGATCTCACGGTTGGTGGGTTTGAAACCCGCGTCGGGCTCTGTGCTGACAGCTCGGAGCCTGGAGCCTGTTTCGGATTCTGTGTCTCCGTCTCTCTCTGCCCCTCCCCCACTCGTATTCTGTCTCTGTGTGTCTCTCAAAAATAAATAAACATTAAAAAAAAACCTCAGATAAAGGTTAAACTGAGTTAATTGATACATAGGCTTTGAATACTTGGACAAAATCTAAAGAAAACAATGAGTGACATTGGTCACTAAACAGTTATATTTTACTGTTATTCTTCTTTTTAAATTTTAATGTTTTATTTTATTTTTGAGAGAGAGAGACAGAGTACGAGTAGGGAGGGGCAAAGAGAGAGGGAGACAGAATCTGAAGCAAGCTCCAGGCTCTAAGCTGTCAGCCCAGAGCTCCATGCAGGCCTCGAACTCGTGGACTGCGAGGTCATGACCTGAGCTGAAGTCAGATGCTTAATGGACTGAGCCACCCAGGTGCCCCTTTATTGTTATTCTTATCTATTTAAAAATAGATATAGATTGGGGTGTTTGGCTGGTTCAGTTGGTAGAGTAAGTGACTCTTAATCTCGAGATTCTGAGTTCAACCCCATGTTGGGCCTAGAGCTTACTTCTAAAAATTGAAAGGAGGAAGGAAGGAAGGAATAGATATATAGGACATGAAAATATTTTTGGATTTTGTTATATACATAGTTTCCTTAAAATTCATAAAGACAATATGACAAACATGCTCATTAGAAAAATAACTATGTGGGGCGCCTGGGTGGCTCCGTTGGTTAAGCGGCCGACTTCGGCTCAGGTCATGATCTCATGGTCCATGAGTTCGAGCCCCGCGTCAGGCTCTGTGCTGACAGCTCAGAGCCTGGAGCCTGTTTCAGATTCTGTGTCTCCCTCTCTCTGACCCTACCCTGTTCATGCTCTGTCTCTCTCTGTCTCAAAAATAAATAAAACGTTAAAAAAAAAAATTAAAAAAAAAAAAAGAAAAAACTATGCTAAGTGAAATTAGTCAGAGAAAGACAAAAATCATATGACTTCACTCATATGAGGACTTTAAGAGACAAAACAGATAAACATAAAGGAAGGGAAACAAAAATAATATAAAAACAGGAGGGGGACAACAGAAGAGACTCATAAATATGGAGAACAAACAAAGGGTTACTGGAGGGGTTTTGGGAGGGGGTATGGGCTAAATGGGTAAGGAATCTACTCCTGAAATCACTGTTGCACTATATGCTAACTAATTTGGATGTAAATTTTAAAAAATAAAATTAAAAAATAAAAAAAAAACTAAGTAATTCCTCATTTTCTGTCTCCTAGTTTTGTCTAGGGAGAAATAAAAGTTGATCACATAGGTTAAATGGAGAAAGTAAGACTATATTCAGTGTAATTACAGAGAGATATTTGTTTCTTAAAGAAATTTTTGCACCTAGGAGGATACATTGATAGGATGCTGAAATGGCCTTCTAAAAGCAGAGCTTCAGCATTAACTCAGAGGCAGCATTCTGAAAGGGTGGATACCATCCTTGAAGAGGTAATATATGCATAAATCAGAGACCTCTGTATAGTGCTGTGTTTCCAACAGGAAGAATACATAGGTCCAGTAACCATGGGACAGAAGCAGGAGTAGCCCCATTTACCTTAATTTCCAGTGACACACTGGGAGATTTTGTTTCCCATCCTTTTAATTCTGGGCTCTGTAGGTTTGGAGGTCCTGGTCCCCAAAGCGAGCATACTCTTGCCAGGGGGAACACAAAGTTTTTATTCAACTATAAGGTAAGGCTGCTGTCAGTGCACTTTAAAGTCCTTGTATCCAGGCACCAACAGGTAAGAAGAGGCATCAGCATACTGGCAGGAGTGATCAACCCAGATCAGCAGAAGGACTTAGAGCAGGGGGACTACATGTGGAGCCTAGATGATCCATTTGGACACCTTTTGGTCCTCCTGTGCCCCATTGTAACTGTGAATGGATGCATGCAG